AAAAAAATGGGGGGGGATGGTACAGTATTAGTGCAGCTTTGTTGTGTGTGGGTTTAGACAATTAAGAATCCCACGTCTGCTTTGAATGTTTCATGAATATTAATGCCGTCCTCCTACTGAGCAGTTAATTGGGTGCTATCACTTTAACCACCTTATTTAAATTGAAAAGCGCTCTTAATAAATGACAAATGTCAGCGTGAAACTCGGTGTGTTCAGTGCACTGAAGGCAGGCTGCTGTGCCTGCACCTTTTGTCCTCTGCCCTCTTCTAGCAGGCTGATACTTTACCTTAAACCCGTGAGTCTTTGCTGGCCTTTGGCATCTTAGCTGAGACATCAGGTTGCAAGCTTCCACGTTGCTCTTTTGACTGCCCGTACCACCGTCCCGTACAGCTGGGAGGCGACAGAAACACTGGGTTGTGGAAAAGACGTCCGTCTCTGTCTCGATGGATGGGCACGACACATTTAGAGGAGCCATGTTGGTAATGGGCATTGTATGAGAGCAGAAATTCAGATCTTGGGGTTTATGACCAAGTCAGATGCGTGATCTGAACTGTGTAACTTGAACCTGTCAGATTCTTGACTCAGATGGCAAAATGTTAAAATGCAGCTTGGAGGAGGAATTGTGTGTCCTGCCTGTGCCTGTGGATGTGGCTCAGTGTCAGAAATGTGCAACAGCTGGAAGTGGAGTAGAGAATTTTTTCTCTTAACAATCTTGGGCTTTAGAAACAACAAATTCTGTTTTATAGATCACCGAAGTAAAATAGGAGGTCTTACTGTTCTGTTTAATAGAAATGAGATAAAATCCTCCTCCTATCTGGGCATGAAAAGAAAATGTGATTTTTGTGCATTCATGAGAGTAATATCAACAAAATGAGTTAAACTGGTTTTGGACCATCTCTTTGGGATGTATTCTGATAGCCTTAGGACAAGATCCTCTTGCTTCTCCTATTGCAAGTCGTTCCTGGTGAGGCTGAGTACTTGTCTCCTCTATAGCTTCTGTTAGCCTGGCGCCTCTGTTAGATTTGCCTACAGCCGAAACTTTTGTTATCAAAGATGGAAGAGTTCTTTTATGTGATGCCCCCTCCAGGGAGTATCTTAAAACCTTGTACAAAAGCTGGAGTTACGCTGTTGTCCAACCTTACCCTGCTACTGGAAAGGTTGTACCTCTTAAGGCAAGCTGTGGGCAGTTACAAGTAGTCCTTTTTTTTTTTTTTCTTTTTTTAAATAAAAAAAAAATTAATTTAATAGTAAAAAAAAATTAACTTCAAAAAAGCATGGCAAATCCTTTCTGTTTTAATTGTGGTTTAGGGTATTGCATTCCCAAAGTGTTCTATAAAGCGTTAGCCTACATCTAGAAAAAGGATTACATCTTCAGTCGGGAGTTTGGAATTGATTGTGTAAAATTTGCATGCTTGGCTATTTGTTTTGTCATTTTGAAACCGGCACATGCCTGTCACTCTAACACCGTATTTAAACACAGCAGGTTATTAACACATTATCTGATAACACTGCTGTGGTTGTGCTGAAATTGCAGGTTGCAAGCAAAGGCTTCTAATCGCCCAGTACATGCATTAATGACTTACCAAACCTTGCAAGAATCACTGTATTTCAGAAATATAACAAAAGGAATCCAAAGCTTTGTTTCAGCGCTGAAGCTGAGTTTGGAGGAGTGAAGCTAAGTGGAACAAGGCTTAAAATGAAGCAGATGGCTTGGACCAGAGAGCAAAAACTTGTCTCTACTGATAGTTAGAAATCTTTCATTTTATGCATGTATTCGTAAAAGCTCTTGATAAATGTGCAACTCTGTCTATGTCAATTTTACCTTCAACCTGCAAGTCAACTGATTTCCTGCTGAGGTGCCTCCTGAGGAAGCTACCACGTTGGGCTTCTGCTTCCAGCGTGGCTTTGGGCTCCTCTGAACAGAAAATAGCTGCTCTCCATCCCTCGGGGCTGCATTAAGTGTCACTTGTGCCTTCTCCTGCTCGGTTTCTGTCCTCTCACCCTCTACCTACCGCAATCCTTGTGGAGCTGGCTGAATGTCTGACTGCGTCAAGTTCTTGATCCCTCTTCTGAAGGTACCCGCGGGGATTTCTTTGCTGTTGGAGCGATGCCCTCGTCTAGCCCCCAGTGCAAGCTGTTTGCATGAGCTGCCTCTCGCCTTGCGAGAGAAACGGGGGTAACGCACCTGCTTGGCTGCTTCGTGCTCAGCCTTCAGGCAATCTCCTGGGTTTATTTCCAGGCTCTGCAGCTGTTCTTTCTGCAAGCCAGGAGCGGACAGAAACATAACTTGGCCAGATTGACTCTCCTGACTGTGTCCAAGCTGTTGCGGGGATGCTCCTTGTTTATTCTCTGCTGACCTGTTGTAAGGAACCAGCCTGGTCCTGCCCGTCTGAGGACAGCGGGGAGCAAGGGGACCTTTGCCCAGCACTGATCTCTGCATCAGCGCTGAACAGGACTACAATGGTTTCTGGAATTTTACCAGTATTTTAGAAAGGAATTCTCCTTGATGAAGAGATGCAGGGGTACTTCTGATGCTGATACACAAAAGGAATGTGCAAATCTAAAGTGTCAATGGGTCTTGCGCCTTCTAAGTCAAACATCTCAAACATGTTGATTACTTTTAAAACTTGGTAGTGAGACACAAGGTAAAAGATTTGTATGGGCAGACTCCTCTAGATGGATTCAATTTGGGCAGGAACTGAATTTCTGCAGTGCTGGCTGTTTTTTTTCTCAAGTTAAGGTTGCAGGGCTGGTTGAAAATTGTGCCAAGGCACAGCCCTGTTGAAGGAAATTTTGGGCACTTTTGGTGGTAGGTTAAAGTTTGAGAGAAGGAAGCTGCAGTGTGTGAAAAAGAGTCGATTCACTCCCAGATAGAAATATTGACAAAAAATAAGGGAGGTATTAAAAATCCAGAGCGCCCTTAACAAGTAACTGCAGGGAATCCTAAGCCGTCACCTTCTTGGTGTGGGACTCATAGCATGTATGTTGGCACCATCCTTCGTGTATGGAGGACTGTCTTGGATGAAAATATCACTGCTTTCTCATGTTAAAAACTTTTATTTCTTCTCTGAGAGTTGTTCCCATATGACCAGAGTGCAAAATGGGGGAGTTCTCACCTTGCCACTTGAAGGCAGTAGGGTAAACTCTTCAATAATAAAAATAAATCTCTTGGGGCAGCCAAGTGAAGGGCTTTCTGGTAGATGTTATGTGAACGCACTGCGCAGTCTTTAAAAATACATGTTGTGTGTAGAGTGGTTCTCATCTTCTGCAACCTGGCTGTAAGGAAAATACATGTGGTGCTTTGTTGGCCGGATTTTGGCTTTGTTTGCTTCAGTTTATAAGTAAGTGCCAAGAAAATGAGTATTTTGTTGTAAAGATATTTTCAAGGCCATGTTTTTGTTTGTTTGTGGTTGGTTTGTTTTTTTTTTTTTAAAAGAGAATCATGGAAGACAAGCTGACAATTTAATGGTGCATGATGCACTAATAAAAATGTCTGCGTGGTTGCGTTTAATCCTTTAAAGGAGAGAAAAGAAACACAGTAGTTATCAGCATTCAAAAGGCAAGACGCAGGCTTAAATGTATGCAAAGTCTTGGAGAGAGACTGAAGAAATGTACTGACTATGTTGTAGAAAGCTTCTGACAGGCACATCACATCGTTGAAAGTAAGATTTGAATTATTAGAGCTGCCTTTGTTTATTAAATTGAGCCTCCAGCAAGAGGATTATAGGAAGAAATACTGTGCAGGCTCAAGTTGCGTTGGCATAAATTTTAATGGGTGATAAAATTTACTTTATGGAGCTAATCCGGTAAGAAAATTCAAATAGATTTTTAAAAGATCCAGGTGTGTCTTAGATACCTAAAGAAATAGAGTTCAAGTGCATGAATAAGCCTCCTTTTATAGAATCCAGTTTGCTTTCAGCGGCGGGTAATCCTTTTAAAACAAGACTTCTTCAAGGCAAACTCCAACAAAAGAGTTTTTGTTTAATTTTAAATTGGGAGTGCAAGGGAAGGATGCAGAGAGCTAATAAGAGAGTAATTATACACGCTATTGCCCAGTTGAGGAAGGGCAGAGACTATTAAAATGCCATTTTAGGAGTTAATTATATGGTGTTTCAAGTTGATGCTAGTGTCCTGATTTCTGTTTAATCCACATATACCATGTATTTAAGATGTTGTGTTCATGACATCTAATTTCTATTTCAAGGAACTTTAGGCCACTGCATTATGAAATACTGTCAAAAAAAAAAATATCTTCCAGCCTCCATAGGGTTTGTGCCTGTTGGATTTGATGAGGAAATATGCAGAAGCAATAAAGGAGATGGAAAAACCTTAGCAGATATTTTGGGACCGGCACACATACCATAAATAAAGCACTGCAGTGGAATTTGGTTAGTTAAATCTCTTCTGAAGCTCATTTAATAATTCCAGAGCCTCTGTTACTGCTCAGATGTAGCCAGCTGTAATTTGTTTCAAGGTTAGTCTTTGACTTCTGTTTTATTAGCTTTTCAGTTTATATTCTTCTACTTGTGCAGTTTCTCAAGTCAAACTACATAATGGTTTAGCTAAAACTGGGATCCTTTAGATAGGGGCTTTAAATTGGAATTCTTCAGAAACATTTAATGAAAGCTCTGCATGAGGCAGATGTCAGGATTTACTCTTCAGTTGGGTAGGATTGTGGTGGGGAGAGCAGATTAGGCTCCTTTGCAGTTGATGTGCTGCCTAGAGGAAGTGACATTTATGCTCTTGATCCTTCAGTGATTCTGCATGTCAAGAGCTGAGCCTTGAAATTCATCAGCAGTGCTGTCTTAAGAGCAGACAGGACTGAATAAGAGGATTTTTACAGATAGAGGGGAAAAAATTCAACTCTGATGGCTGTTGCAGATCCTTAAGTACTTAAATTTTTCCTTTTTTTTTTTCTCTCTCCACATCTCCCCTGTAGGAAGTCGGAGAGGGAAATCGTGTTAAATCACCAACTGATATATTTTTGAAGTTGAAAAATCTGAGATGCATTAGAATTCAGAGACCTCCCTTTGCTTAAGGTAAGAAAGGAGCAGATTCTCCCTGCTCCCTGCTTAATAAATGTCTGTATTGGGCTGGAGTTTCTGTAAGGTGTTTAAAATGTGTAGCCTGCTGTCGATGCCTAAATGGTTAACGTTCATCCAATTTAATAACTTGCAGCTGCAGAAGGCATATGGCTGTGTGTTTACAGGAGGTGTCCTGGCAATAACCAGGTTCAGCCTGCGCAGAGGAAGGGAAGCAGGCTGCTTAGCGTGGGGACTCGACCAGCTTGCTTGTGGTGCTCGGGCGGAGATGAGCTGGTTGTTTTTGTTGTACAGCTGAAGGGCTGTCATGCCTAAAACCTAATTTTCAGAGGTTTTTATTTTCCCTGTTTGGATGGTAAGTAAGCTTGGTAACTTCTGAAGGATGCGGGGAGTGGAAATAGGGTGGAGGTGGTGAAAAAATCTCACTTTGGAGAGGTAGTAGTTGCATGAATTTCATGAAAGGTGAGACTTGGTGAGCTGTAGTTATGTTACCATGGTATCCATAAATTACTCCAGTGTGAGCGCTTGTAAGTATCAATGGTGAATTATTCCCGGTAAGGTGGTGTGTGAGAACAGGTCTGCAAGCTATTAGCCTAGCTGTTTGTTTTTATGTGAGAAGTGTGTTAATTACCTTCTTTTGTAAGTTGTATATAATTATCCATGCTGTAAGCATGAGCTCAGTAGCACAGAAGAGGCAGGATTTCTAACCTGTTGTACTTGCATAGGGGCTTTGGGATACTATACAAAATACACGTATTAAACTGAAGCTCGGCTTTCCATGACTCTAATTTCCAAGTGAAGTTTCTCCTCTTGTTAAATTTAGTGATTATTTTTTTACTTAAATCGCTTCTCTGCTAGTTACGGTATATCTCACTGTGCACAACTTTAGGAAACCTAATTCAAAAGGAGAGATGCCAAAACTGGAAGGTAGAAAACCTTGTCTGGGGTTTTCAGCGTGCCTCTCGTGCTACAGCTGGAAGATAAAAGCTCTTTCAGAGCTGCTATACCAGACAAGTGATTCAAAGCATTTCAAAACGATTAAAGAAAACGTGAAACTTCTGCCCAGTAATTAACACACGCTGCTCTTGTGTGCTTAATCTGAAATTGGTAAGTTTTTTATTTTTCAGGCTTCTGCTGCTGAATTCATTCAGCTTGGAGTGAGTACTCCTGTGAATCTGCTGAGGTTTATTTCAGAACTCGATGTACAAACGTCAAGCCTGCACTGGTGTATGTGATCTGTCATTTCCAATTACTTTGTGCAGCAGGACTGTCTCGGGCACAGAATGTTTTAAATTCTCTCATATTGAATGAGCAGAAAAGAGCATCTGTGTTAGCAATTAAAATCTTCAGTTAGAAGTAGGAAATGAATTTTTAACTGGACAGAGAAACTTGTTTGGAAATTAAGGTGGTGGTTGCAAAAAAGCATCCATTTTGTGTTACTGCACTGTGCTTTTCTATCCTTTGTGCAGCTGGAGTGAAAAACAAGCACATTGAATCCCTTGTGGTGGATTTTTTTTTTATCAGTTGCTTAAAGTGTTCACTCTTCTATCACTTGCTATATTCTGCAAGTCTACTCCTGAATTGTTTGACTTGTCAAACTCATCATCCTTCCCAGACTTTTTCAAGCTTAACTGATCGTAGAATATGCTTTTTATTAACATCAAGGCAATAGAATCTGAGAGAATACTCCTGTTTAGTAGGGGAATAAAGTTTTGCTGCCAGATTTTAAATATATATCCTCTTAAACATGCTTAGCAATCTGCTTATGTGAGCATCATGAGTTTTTAAAGTGGAGTGATATTTTTTTTTTTCTTTAGGATGAAAGTAGTTGAAGATCTGAATTGTGAGGGACAGATGAAATTAAGCTGCAGAAGCACTGATGGCAATCTACAAAGCTTTAATGTGTTAATGTAGTCTAGGCATTATACATATTTAGAAGCAGTCTAGATTGAATCCTGGAGAAAAAGCGGAGTTATTCATAGCCTCCTGTCTTGATCGTATTTTCCTGTAAGTGATGGATGGTATGAAACAGTGGTTTGAAGGAGATGCTAAAAATCATTTTGCTGCTGTTAGAACTATATTGGATATTAATTGCGCCCAAGTTCAGTATTGGTTTAAAAAAAATACAGGGGAGGGTAGTAGATGAAAGAATGATGTTTGCAAAATTTTGTAGCTGCGTGTAGGCTTTTTTTTTTTTTTTTCCCCTCCCCCTTCATGAATTATGCAAGTTTTCAAGTTTGGTATGTTGCTGTATTTAATATGTTTTAAATGACATTGCATCAGTTAATATGGTGAAGGAGAAGATCTGGGTAGACTGATAATTAATCTGCCATGGGGAACAGCAGCAGAGAAGCTATTGACATAGACTGAACAGTTTAGTTTATACAGACAGGGAGCATTTTAGCATCTGCTAGAAAGGTACTTTGATAGACCAGGACTGAGAAGCTTTTTGGAGCCAGTGTCTCCATTCTAGCGTGTTGCCTTGACCCTGGCTGGAGCCTCTGGATGCCCTGCAATATAAAGTAAAAATTTATAGGCTGTCAGTGGGCTTGAAAGAGAATAAAGAGTGAATGCATTGAATTTCTAGATGAAAAAGGGAGCCTTGTAGCATCCGGAAGAAAATAAGTTAGTATTAATTTTATTTTTATGCTTGAATATTGAACAGCTGTTGAACAGAAACTTCAGGAGAATACTCTGTTCCTGGCAATGGGGGGTGTGGGGTACAACTTCTTAAAGAAATTTTTACAATATTGGTGAAAGCAGAATGTTTTGCCTGTGTATTCCTTTGTCTCACGTGCTACTAGAGGCGCCAGGTTGCTACAGGCAGGGGCAACTCGCTGGCTGCACCCTCGTGGTAAATACAGCCATGGTTATCAGGTTGTGTCTTCGACTTCTACATCAGTCTGTCTTTCATGTAACATCTCCAGGTCAATATTGCCTTTCCAAAGCAGCAAGGTCATTCTAGCTTATTTTTGGAGGTAGGCTGCCCTTCTGTGAAGTCTTCTCATCCTTGTTGATGGCCTCAATTAATGTTTCCAGAGCTCGTTGTTAAATTAGCTTTTTCTGTAATAATTCTGTGATGGTTTCTTATTCTACTTGTGCTTCAGCGGTAACTGTTCAGCTGTAATAATTAGGATGAAGTCTTTCTAGGTTGTTTGATCTATCATATATTTAAGTAACTGGGTCTGTGCATCTATAGCACACCTGCTAAAGTTTAAGATCAGCTCCATCAGTCCCCTGGTAAAACGCAGGTGGCTGTTAGACTGCAGAGGAGCTTTAAACTTTTTGTTTTATATTTCTGCTTTGTGTTAATTAAGACTTTGGCTAACTTTTAACTAGCAGCATCAGAAAAACTCATTTCAGAAGGCTGTTCTGAACTCTGTTCAAAGAAGGGGGTGTTTCAGTCCTGTGCCCGTCCTGGCGCGGGTGGTTCTGTGCGGCACCTCGCAGTTCATCAGGCGCTTCAGGGATCTGATGCACCATGGCTGGGTGGAAGGCGATCTTTGCAGCGAGCCTGTTAATTGCTTCTCGAGTGACCTAGTTCCCTTGCTGGAAACAGATGCGTAAGCCTTTCCTTCCTCCTCCGTATTTTATGATCGTGGTGGAGTCTAGATTGGCACATCCAGAGCCACTTCCCCAGCAGGGTGGGGTTTTGGTTGTTGGTTTTTTTTCCCTGAAAGAACCAGCTTCTGTTTGGAAATTTCCACAAGCTCGGTGTATTTTGTGTCACTTCCCTGCGGATGTGAGATGGGCTGTGTTTCGCGGGCTGTGCTCAAGCGTGCCTTTCTGTAGCTACTGTGGAAATGTCACATCACCATATTTTATTACCCTAATGTGGGAATTCATTTCTCCAAGCAGATGGCAAAAAGGTGGTTTGGTTAATTTGTACCTGCTTGAAATAAGTCACTAAATGTGCATTAAACTACTCATTTATTAGGCCAGAGTGTATCACTGATGGATAAATGATGATGTTGGATTACAAGCTCAAAACCACTGAGGAACTGGGCAGGTATCCGCAACTAAAACAAACCCAGACAAAATGTTTAACTGACTCACAGCTGTTGGAGCCTGCAAATAGTCAGCCTTTACAAAGGAGAGTGGTGGCCATTTGTTGTGGGAAAAACTTGCCCCACAAAGAATTTTTGCTAGTAAATTCAGCATTTCTCCTATAAAATCTCTCTTGTGCTGTTTGCTTGCAGACTTGGCTTGTAGGGTAGTAGACATCTGATGGTCACGAGATGGTACCAGCTGCATGCTGGCCTTTATTTACCCAGTTGGGCACAGGTACGTGCTGCACCCAGCCTAGTATTAGTCCTCTGTCATTGGAAAAAGATCTGCCATTGCAGTCAAAAACTGATCTTTCAACCATGTCCTTCACAGAAGGTGAAACTATTTTTTTTCTTCTTGGAGAAATACACCTGGCAGAAGGGGTAAAATCACTTAATTATTAACTCACACTAATTACTAATTCTGTGAAACTTGAAACAAAATAGTGTTTGTTTTCTGCCCAACATTTTGGGCTTTGTAAAGTGTGGTCTTTCATAAGCATGTGGTTTATCTCGTGCTTTAGTAGGTACCAGGTGCAGGTGTTAAATTCTGCCACTGAGTTCTCATTGCCTGAGGAGTGAATAATGCTCTGGGTGTCCTGACGGGAGGAGCTCCCGCACTTGCTGCAGCTGCAAATCTTCCTTTATCTTCCTGCTGTTCCCTCTTTGGCAGAGGGTCTCTGAGCATCGCCATGCGGTATAAATCGACGTGAAACTGGCCCAGTAGCCAGCTGAAGGCTGGGCAATGTTGCCATGCCCTCTCTGAGAGTATCTTGGAGTTGTGTAAGCAGTTTCTTGATGGCACGGGTTATATCTAATGGAACAAAAGGAAGCTGAGCTAACAAGAATAGCAAAAGGGAAAACAATATTTTTTTGGTCATGTGTAAGAAGGACATGGGGATGTGGACCTGTTGGAGTGAGTCCAGAGGAGGGCCACGAAGATGATCAGAG